TTCTTAAGTTGCAGCGCGTTGAGCTCTCTCGGCCACCGTACTTACCACTATTGGGATCGACATTTCACTAGGTAACATTAGGCAGTTTTCATTTATATGCTGTTTATTGTTGATGATGGCCTTATTTTTCATATGCATCTGCTTACATTTGAGATCGCCCGTTTCTGTGTCTTCCTCACCTGTGTTTTTGATCGGATGATTGTGGACTCATTCAGGACATTTATAATAGCGCCCCAGAGCGAATAACACAGAGAACGCGGAAACGGAAAATTTCGTGTTTTGCTGGGAAAGAGTTACTAAAACATGATAGAAAATACAAGCATTTTTGCATTTAAATCTATATATGTATAGTGTGGCGGCATAAACTTATAGATGTAACACAATTCACATTCAGTGCTTATGTTTCCCCTTTAAGATATGCATTTAGGCCTGTAGGCCTATTATAAATGCTTACATTTTATATGTATATATTTAAAAAAAAATTATATTTTTAAAATAGAAAAAAATTCTCCATCTTCCCAAACACATCAGCCAGTGTGGCATCCAGCTCCAGCAGCCTGATTCCTTTTGGAGAGAAACCAGCTGCAGTAACGTCCTTCTGGGGCTCAGGAGTAGCTGAACACACATATTCAAACATTACGGACTAAATTAAAATGGACAGTGAGAAGAACACAAAGCCGAGATGCCTGCAGAACATCTGAACATCTCACTCACGGTTCACATTTTTATATGGTTTCCAAACAGTGATCTTATTGCGGGGTGTTCTCCTCCCAACACTCCCGAACTCCTTTCCCATGGTCTCCTCATTAACTGGCTGTATTGTTCTGTCTCGTAAGGGTGGCGGACTGCCAACTAGCATGCTTCAAAACATGTCACAAGTGATTATTCAGTGTGTTTACCTCATTATTTTTTAGCAAAAGACCATGTTTGAAGGCCATGTGGCCTAGAAGAGCAACTTAGTATCAATACAGATGCCACTCACAAGCGTCTTCAGCTAAAATCTCATTCTTTCTCGTATGACTTCTTTCACAGTCATGTAGGCATGAGAACTTTTTGTGAAATTTGGATTAACTCATTAATCTGTTGCTTGACCTCTTATATATTTTTTTGTATTTGGCACGTTGTTAGTTTCTCCGGTAGAGGGCGTCTAATTAACGTGTAAAATGTTCAGAATTGATTGCAGTTTGTTGGAATCTGAAGAAATCTTCTCTTTTTTAACATCTATTGTTTTTATAAAATTTTATTTCAGTGTTAGTTATTTTAGTACATTAAGTTTAACCAAATTAAAATTAAAATAATTTTTTTTTATTTATGTTTAAATGTTTTTAAATATCCCTGGTGCAGACTTGCTGTCATGGCAACATTTACTTGGTTCACTTCTGGTTCAACATTTCTTCTTTGTCAATTTTTTTTGTCCCCAGACCAGGTTTTGTTTGACACCGTTAGCACTGTCCCTGAAGGAGCTTCTTAAGTTCTAAAAAAAATACCATGTGCTATAGTACTATGATACTATGGTACATCCCAAAAAATCAGTGAGTGAATAATCAAGATGAACCGCTTAAGATTAATTTTCATTGGTCTGAGGTCAATGCAAATGCTTGGACTCAACGGTCCAAAAACGGGCCATATTTTCTTGTTTTGTGGTGATGAAATATGACCCTTGAAGACTCATTTGTAAAGATCTGTTCCAATGTGTTTCTTTGTGGTGTGGATAATAACATGCAAACTAATAATACAGCATTCACAGATGGATCACAGTTCTCAGGTTAATCATTAAATCTGATCTAAGTTGCTATAGAAGAATTTATGATCATTGTGCTTGATTATGTGAAAGGGCAGCAGTCCACTGCAACGTCACAAACACACAAATAAACAGTTCACGTCACAAGGTTGTTATAGCAACTGTCTCGTTATACAGGCCACAAATTATGCCATTTCAATGTTAAAATGCTTTCTCTTAATATGCGGTCAACTATAAGTAAACCATGAAGTTGATTGTTTTTTCTAAACATTGGCAAAAAAACATTTGAAATTCAGTTTGGTGACAGAATAAATGACACCAGGTTTAAGTAATTGTTTATTGGGTGTGTTTTTTCTCTCTCCACGTTTTACAGTAAATTAATTTCTACCAAGAACTGGCATTAAACAATTTACATTGTAAATTGATTACTGTTAATAAAAGTATTTTTGTACACAGCACTTAGTCAACGTGAAACACAGTTTACAACCCATTTTACATCCATTATCTAATGTATTTCTGAGTGATATTGAAAGAAATTTATTTCTTCACAATAATGTACACTGATGAATCATTCACAATAAAAACCAAGAACATATATTTAGAAAGCAAACAGAGTCAATTTTGATTTCACATTGACCTTTCATGCTAGAAACTGAAAATTAAATTCATTTTGTGCACCATATTTACAGACTTGTTAACAGAAAGTAAAAGGAAAAAGGAAAACATTTGTATAGACTTTAAAACACCGAAATGAACTTATAAGGAATCTTTGAAAGCTTCTACTGTCCTAAAATGTCAAAAGTGTTCCTCATCGTCCGAATCCATGTCAGTCCTTAGGTTGTCCTCATCCTCAATGTCGTCATCTTCCTCACGGCCTCCATCCGCTTCACCAGCATCGGGAATGATGACCACTTCCTCTTTGGTGCTGGGGTCGATATCTTGCTTAAACCAAACCGCTTTGTATCCCTCCTCATTGCGCCGCTCTTTGGTCAGGATCGGTTTGACTTCCTTCTCGCCGTCGATGGTTTCTGAACCTGCCAGGCTGCTGGAGTCGGGTGGAGGGCCGCTGGTGGTCTGGAGAACGGCGCTGGGGGTCGTATTGTCCTGCGCTGACCCGTGTCTCTGCTGTGGCTTCAGCCCGGACTCCAGTTTGTTCTCCAGGTCTGCAACTAACTTAGTGTTCACGCTTCCAGAATCACCATCGTGCTGGAAGCCCTCATTGCAGTACTGCACACCCTCTTTAGGACCACCCGAGCCTCCACCAAACTGCAGAAAGAAAAAATTCCCTCATAAATATGCTCTAGATTTAGAGAAAGTATTAACATTAATGGAATAATTCACCTAAACTTGTCATGATAAAGGAATGTAATAATGGTTTTATGAACATTGAATATGACCGATTGCGTGAGAATTTGATTCAATATGAATTTACATTTGTAGTTTTATGAACAATTAAATGTCATAATTAAAAAAAAAAAAAGAAGAAAAAAATACTCTCAAATGTGGTCTAGATATATAAAGTGTTAACATTAACATCGAATGTGACGAATTATGTAAGAATTTGATTCAATATGAATTTACTTGCGAATGCTTTTACAAACTATTCATTTCACTCCA